GAGCTCGATATGTGTTCAGCTTTGTGAAGTTGTTTTTGTTCTCAGGCTGATATTTGGTCTCTCGGGATCACTGCCATTGAGCTGGCCAAGGGCGAGCCCCCGAACTCAGACATGCACCCCATGAGAGTGCTCTTCCACATCCCCAAGAACACACCACCCACCCTCAACGGAGACTTCTCCAAGACTTTCAGAGAGTTTGTGGACTCCTGTCTCAACAAAGACCCTACATTTGTAAGCACAGTTCAAGCATGGCTTTCTCATGTAGGAATACTGCACTTACACTAGGGTTGTCACTAAAGTTTCAATATATAGGGACAAAAATGCCCCTGTATGAACTTACAGTTATGCAGCATCACACAAGCAAGAGTACTGTTTTTCCAGAATATTGTCAATATTGTGTTTTTGCTCTGTCGCCAATGAAAATGATTCCAAATGAAGACACAACATGTTTTGTTCCTGAATGTATAATTTCATATTTTAAAAAAAAAGTTATTTATGCAATTGTAATTATGTACATCTAAATACTGCTTTAGATGCAGATTCTGTGCTAAAAATGGGTTTTGTTGATACTGATTTCATTCGATTAATAACAGCTTATAGTGTCTTACTATTCTGAATGAAATTGATTAAATGTAAGAATTTGCCATATATCAGGATGTATACTTTAAATGGGGAAAGACAGAATGCTTTTATTTAAGTAAAATGGCCATGGAAATCTTTTTAAGTGTGCATTAAGGTATAATATATGCCAGTGCCACATCTGAGCTTCACATGACAGTATTTAGTACTGTGCCGTTTTGAGAAGTATTTTGATTATACGACTGGTGCACCGTTAAACTGTGCAGCGCTAACTTGTGCTGATGTGTTTGTAAAGTGATAAAGGTAATAAAATGTCATATCTACTTTTCTCAGAGGCCAACAGCAAAGGAACTCCTGAAGCACAAATTCATCGTTAAATACGCCAAGAAGACATCCTACCTCTCCGAGCTCATTGACCGGCTGAAGCGCTGGAAAGCCGAGGGTCACAGCGATGGAGAATCGAGTTCTGACTCCGACTCGTAAGCATGCAGCGAGCACACAGATGCATT